AATCTATCCAGTCAGCAAACAAACCATCATGCCATCACCCGAGACTCCGAAGTGGCGGCTCAGGAGGTTGTTTAATTCGCCCAGTGGGGACTTCCCGGGGATCTCTCCGATCTCTAGTCTCAAAAGAGTAAGTTGACAGCTGCAAGTTGACCAAAAGACAAAAGAGGGAACAGAAAAGGAAGAGAGGGTCCGATCCTGGTCTAGAGATTGACCAAGGAGAAGAGACGAGGTGGGGAAAATGGGATTTTGTTTTTCCCTCGAAATCAGGATAAATCTGCAACGCGGGCAAATCTGCACGTACGGCAAAGGAACGGCACCAACGTTGACAGGGCTTGATTTTTGGAACTAGCAAGGGTTCTTTGGTTGTATTGCGCCAGAAGAGGATAAGGGTGACATGATTCGGGCAATATAGCGGGAATATATGTCCTGCAAGATATATTAGTGTCTTACTGGGTTACAGATTAGACCGAACTCCTCATCGAAACGTGTCCGATCTACGATATTCCAATGAAAATTCTCTTTTGATCTAGCTCTGACAGAGCTATTGGTGAGGATTCTGCTAAAATGTACAAATTGACGGAGTATACTCCGTATGTTGTAGTGATATTGTGATATTGACTGGGGACTATAACATACGTATGTTGTAGGGATATTTTCCCACGTGCAAACCTACGTTGTATATTTTTTTCTTTTTTTTTTTCTTTTCTCCCAGACTCAGACATGAGATATCCTATGGACGGAAGAATGAATTGTATTTTTTTCTTTCTTTTTCCTTTTTTCTTTTTTTTACCCCTCTGAATTCGCCACTGATCTCTGTGATTGACATCTGCACGTTCTCAATTGTCCAACAGGAAAACTCTGAGCCAAGAGGCCAGAGATTTACTCGCTTGTCCTTCGTATGTGGATTATCACCAGACCGACATTTAGAAAGAATCTCCACGGTGCCAAAGGGGGAAAATAATAACAAATCAATCAAAACAACCAAAACAGCCAAAACAGCCAAAACAGCCAAAACAACAAAACAAAACAAAATAAAATAAAAACGGGGAAATCAAGCCGGACCGTTCCCAGACTCCACAAGATAGACCGCTTCGATCGGCGGGGAGGAATTTCGGATTTCTCTTGGAAGTTCCTGTTTTCCTTTTTCTTTTTCTTTTTCTTTCTTTTTTGCTTTTCCCTCTGAGACCAAGTATCTAGCGCCAGCTAGTAGTCCCAATACGGGGCTAGTTCAAGCCAAAAGTTCCCCTGAGAGATTAACGAGATTACAAGTGGGCTGGCCGTTTTAGATGCTCCATCAGATACTCCACACCATCTTCAATGGAAAGAGGAATCTCCTCGGCTCCACTAATCCTGCAGGTTTGTAATCAGCGCAAATCCCGAAAGAACCACTGTGATTGCCTTTGAAAGTCTCCGAGTGAATGTCGGATGGAACAGCCTAGGCAGAGTCCAAAGTACCATGAATGGTATATTGCTAGCATCTTCATGCCGATCTCACTTTTCTACGGAAAACAGACCCGGGCTATCGATCTACGATTGACGATGTACCGTACTTGTGTATATTGCACACGCTAAATCCCTGAACGAACCCTTCTCAAATCTCCAAGCCACACGGATATAAACATGCCGAAGCCGAGAACGGAGATTGGGTTAAGAGATTCGGGAGATTGCACTTCATATACTCCATACTCAGCTAGGCAAAGAAATGAGAAAAACGGCTTGGATTAATTAAGATCCGCCGGTAGATACGCAGTGGATATAGCGAAAGTCCCTCCAGCTTTCCATGACTCCATTTCTATAATATCACATTAATAATAGCAACGAGGTTCTTTTTTATGCGGCCTCCGGGAGTTATCTGCCGTTTGGCCTGTGCTGGTGATTGCCATGATATACGTACCCCGTACGCGTGCGAAATTGGTGTGTTTTTTTACTTTTTTTTTGCGGGTCGAGGAGGGCTGGCTGGGTATGGAGTAGAGATGCTGGATTCGTCTGGAGGTTTACTGCTATGTGGGGTGTTGTTCAATTCTGGGCCGTGATAATGCTGCGTTGCCTATGCATATCCGTTGCAAAAAGTATCAAACATGTCTATTTTAAGCAGATCGTCACTTCTTTATGCCTTTTAAGTACTCTGTATATCTCACCCGCGGTACCAAACCGAGACTGGCGCAATACAACATTGTACAACATATGTTGTATACTGGAAAGCACTTGACCTCTCGGCGATCTCTCGGGGCACTTTTTGAGTCTTTCTTACAAATGGGCATATCAGCACAGCATATTTGTGCTCGGCATCAATAGCTTTTTTAGTGCTTCTTCAAATGGATTGATCTACGTCGGATGTACAGAGTATGCTTGCTGTACGGATTAGTCCAGACCATTTCCAGGCGATCAAAGTACTATAGAGAATACGTTGTATACGTTGTGCATGCAGTATGTTGTAAATCATATGCACGGGAATCCTTCCGGTCCTATTTTGAAGTGGACTGGCTCGGCCGCATCTCGGTGAGGATTCAAACGGTTCTCCATTGGAGAGAGTGGATGATGATCGTAATGGATACCTTAGCAAGGATGCTAGGAAGACCGAAAGCTTCAAATAAGCGAAATCGCTTGGCACATATGCTATCCAGCATATTATATGTGATAGTCCCGTCTCAAATGACATATTGGTAGATCTCTCAATTTTGAGAGCGTTCTCCTAAACGGATGTACTTTCTCACCTACATGACTCGTAACACTAGGGACAATTCCAAATCGGTAGTGGCATATAGGACGAATAGACGAGAACTGGTTCTATACAAGCGCACCAATCATTTTTCCAATCCAAACTCAAAAGCTCGAATCAAGGGTCCAGTCGATATAGCTGTACACCCCCAACTACAAGTATGGCCCATTAGGAATTATTTGACAGGTGAGTTATGCACCAAGGCTTTTTGACATATGCATTAGCAACAAGCCTGGCCCATTTACATATTAATTTACCCATCTGGACGAATAGGATTCCCGCAGTGACGTTGAATAAAGTTTTTTTAAAAACCTGAGCTACCACACGTCAAATAGGGAGTCTCCCGATGATTGGAGGACTTTGAATCTGACAGCTGCGAGCTTCCACCTGAAAAGGATGTACCTTTGTTTTCAAGCTGGTTATTTGTCATTCTCCATGGATTCCACTCCGTACAGAGTTGTTTTTCATTTGGTGGCTCTTTCTTCCAGAACCAAAATCAGACAAAAGTACAAAATCTTCCCGCTTTGATCTCTCCAAATCTTCGCCATCGTATCCACCCGATCCCTGTTCCATCTTGTACTTTTTATGGGAATCTCCGAATAGAAGCCAAATGAAAGAACTGGTTCGCCCTAAGTGGCCCTGGTACGATGGCAATTCTACGAGTGGAGCCAGCCTAACTTTTACGGTTCCTTTTTTCGCCGGACATTTCCCTTCCAGTCGACCAATAGGTTATCACAATACTATTTTTGTCGCTTCAAGGGGAAGGTGACTGGATGAGCTAGCAAACCTTGGGAGAATCTTTTTGAAACAGATGTCATCGACAAGCATAACCGAAGGATCGGCAATCGTCCAATATACCAGAACCACATGGGCTGGGTCCCCGCAGATCCATATCATACCAGTTGAAATGGAAATTGACATGAAAACGGCGGTCCACGGCTGATCTGACAGGTTGTGACAGGATCTGGTAGGGTCTTCGCGGTGGAGAGAGGTGGGCCGAAGATAATGTGAATCCACAACTTGATAATTCCCCTATGTTGTATGAACGCGGTAATTTGATCCCCGATACTGAGTAGTATTCCCATCTCTTGAAGGGGATGGTCTTTGACTCTCAGCCGGCCGGTACCTAATCCCAACGCAGTCAAGGCGCCGGGGATCTGGGCAGTCTGGCCAATGTGCTTACGCGCTTACTCCAGTTTCCATTTTAGTGCGCCTCGGGATTTGCAATACGATTTTGTGGGAGACGATCGTACATAAAATATAGTAATTCCCATGCTTAATTTCCAGCTTCTGTCTCCCATCTATGTTTTGAGAAAACTTACGCGTAAACCTCGAAAATCTGTGGCAAGATGGGTGATCCACAGAGAAAACGTCAGCCATATGCCACCGAGGGTTCGCACCAATCAATTCATCCCCTGGTGGCCCCTCCACTGGTGTCCCTAATGCCAAATCCCGGGCTTGGCTCTCGGGTCTACTCCGTACTAGCTTATAAGCTGCACATAAAGCTCGCACACCGTACCTTTTCTGCTTCGGGTCTTATAGGGCCAATGATAGGATCCCCGACCTCGAATGCTACGCTCTAGGATTGACCGGCCCCGAATCCCGTCTCTTTAGGCTAGGTGCATGCGGTAATGCAATGCAGCTTACCGTATGGAGTACATTGCAGCGGGATGATTTGTACTCCGTAGTCGAAACTTAATCATAGGATGAGATTATCTTGTGTGGAATGCGGAGTACAGCGTGCATAGAGATGATGAGTATCGTATCATATACCCCCCGAGTCATGCTCTACGTAAAGGCTTTCGGTATTTATCAGACCTATTATACTTGATGTAAAAGTATGAGTGATTTTTAGGATAATCTTATCTACAAGAAACAAGGAAGCATTTGAATTTGGTATGATTTCCTCTTATGCATGTGTTTGCCCTTCGGGGTGAGATTTATGAATTCTATTTGTGGATATATATTTTTGATGTATTGATGATCCCTTCATCGAATCGCCAAGATTATTGGTTTCAAAGTAGATTTCAAATACATAAGCATAGCCATTCCATCTAGCAAAATACCTGTTATTTGTTATCTCCAACTCCCCAGACAAAAATTTCAAAAATTTATTCCCCAAACTCCAATGTATAACGACGATCACGTGATCGTACCTCGCTGAGTGGCCCGTGCGCAGAGCTTGATCCCCACTTGAGCTTCCAGTCGAATACGTTCATAGTAGATACTCTTCTTCTTCGAGTTTCTCTCGAATCTAGCTCGGGCTGAATTTTTCTGCATCATGTCTTCACTTGTGGCACTGGCTGACATCCCCACGGTGGCACTTCTGTACCGCGCGAAGCAGCTCCTTCCTGTGTCCTCAAACTTCGCACCATCACAGACTCTCAACAACACAGTCTCCATCACCCGCAATGACATCACCAAGCTCAAAGTGGACTGCATTGTGAACGCTGCTAATGAGTCTCTCCTCGGCGGTGGTGGCGTGGATGGTGCAATCCACCGAGCTGCAGGTCCTAAGCTAGTTGAAGAATGTTACTATCTTGATGGATGTGAGACTGGCGAGGCAAAGATCACCTCCGCCTACGAACTGCCTTGCAAGCGTGTGATCCACACAGTCGGCCCAATTTACAGAAGAGAAGAGGACCCCGTCGCGCTTCTTCGATCGTGCTACCGACGTAGTTTGGAATTGGCAGTGGAAAACGACATGAAGAGCATCGCCTTTGCTGCTATCAGCACTGGAGTGTACGGTTATCCCAGTCGACAAGCTGCCGAAGATGCCATCAAAGAAGTGCGCGAATTCCTCGTCGGACCTAACATCGGAAAGCTGGAGCGTGTCATCTTCTGCAACTTTGAGCGCAAGGATGTGATCGCCTATGAGGAATTTATTCCGTAAGCTTGCCCCATTTCTCACACTGCTTGATCAAATACTGACAATAATTCTAGGAGGTATTTCCCTCCCACAGAAGAGGACTTGGCTGAGACCAGCGACGCTTGAATTGCCATGCCAATAATATGTTGCTCGCCTTGCTTGGCATACACACAGTGGAGGCATGTACCAACATGCCCCCGACACGATTCACGACCGCCATCACATGAATTCAACGAAACTTAATACTTCTTGCTCTGTAATATCCCATTAGCTTAGAAGCGATTCTTTCTCAAAGGCCTTCTTGAAGCCGCCATCCTCAGTCTTAGTGTTTCTTTCTCTATACTGGTAGCACGTAAGGCGAAGATAAGATATCGACCAGTTCGTACCGATATTTGGATAGAGCTGTCGTGTCAGTAAGAGTGATGTTTATCGATGAGGTAGCTCTGTAAGCAGCTTATTTTCTTCTTTGTACGATCTTCTACAAAGACAATGGTCTTGGTATCAGCTCACTCGCCCAAGCAAGATGCAAACAGTGCAAACACACTATCAGATCGCGCATTTGATCATGATTCCAGCTTGAGACCACTTCACTCTAATTTCAATTTCAAGTCTCCCTCGATAATCCAAGCTACATAATGAACCTCGCCTACCTGAACTGAATATCCCATCCCCAACGCAATCAATTGCGCCCGCAAATACCCCGACCCCTCGACCTCCGCCTCAACTCCGAAAAATGTCGAAACCACAACGGCCAAGAGGAATACCAACCCCCAATCCTCGGTTCCGAGTCCATGTCCGCGAAGAGCCAAAGCCTCAGATCCCAGAACCCTCAACATACGAGGGACCATCCCTCTCCAAACAAAGACGAACACCCGCCCTCCTCTCACACTTCCTCACAAACCTCCGCCAACGCATCTCCGCTCTCCCATACCCAGTCCGACAAGCAGGCCGCACTCTCCGTTGGGCAGTACCTATACTCCCAATTGCACTCTTCTTCCCAGAACATGTAATGCAAGTAATGTGGGTTCGCGGCCCGTCAATGACACCATACCTGAACGAGGAGTATGCGCAAACACAAACGAAGAGCGATATAGTCATGGTCAACATGTGGCCGTGGGGATCTATACTGCCGTTCAAAAAAGAGCGGAAGCTGGAACGGGGGATGATTGTTACTTTCCGGTGGGTTCTACACTTCTTTTTATGGAGTCGAGTGCATCAACAAATACTAACAATATCCTCGATATGTATAGCTCCCCTGCAAACCCATCTCATATCGCTATTAAGCGCGTCATCGGTCTACCCGGTGACCGAATCACGACTCGCGAGCCATGTCTGCGAAAAGCGCAGATCGTCCCCTGGAACCATGTCTGGTTGGAGGGTGATGCGGAGGATCCGCGGAAGACACTGGATAGCAATACGTACGGGCCAGTCAGTCTCAGCCTCATTACTGGGCAGGTATTTGCGGTGCTGGGACCACGGATGCGATGGCTGAAGTGGACGGATTGGGAAAATGATAAGGGGGAGTCTGCGTCGACGGATGATGCGCATGTGGATTTGTATCGACAGAGTGTGCGGGATCGCGTTTTGAAGAACGCTGTTAAGCTCGACCAGCCCATTTTGAATTGATTGGCTGGCTATAAATGGGGTTTGGCGCATATAACTATTGGCCTCTTGTATTTGTTGATAGAGCTTGATCTTCCTGTGTCTGATGATGTTGTGGACTGGGACTTGTACATATAATGGGAACGTCTTTTTGGATATCAGTGTATCACTATTTTGAGTAAAACAAAAGCTGTGCTATGCGTATGTAGGGAAGCGAAGTGGTATATACCAATAGAAGAGGAATCATGAATAGCCGAGAGAAGTAGACAATGCAGCAATGAAATTAGTCATTATAGAGAAACAAGCCGTATATCTTCATGTTTCTCTTCCTGGAGACGGTCAATTTCCGAGGAAATACTCATCACCCAACGATCCTTTTCCACACGACTACGTGCTTTAAACACGATGGTGCGACCATGCTTGCCCAGCGTGGACACATGACGCAATGATCGTTTGGCTTTTCCTTGCTCTCCTACTTCCTGGGCCCGGAAGTAGCTCTTACTCAGGGGTTGCCAGACCACGAAGGTGATGGCGGTGTCCTCATCGCGACTTGTGAAGGTATCGGAATCGAGGTACACCCGTGGCAGAGCATGAAGACCAGGGTTATTGCTGTCGAATGTCTGATTGGCATACAGCAAGTCGTTCTCGGTGATCAAACCTGAATAAATATAACAATCTTCCAGTTCGATGGTCGCTTCAAGTTCTTGATGAATATGTGGAATCTCAGTGCCATTTCGCTTGCGAAGTGTGCTTCCGAAAATTAACAGCTTTCCTGCTGTGAGGATGACATGGCATTGGTGGAAAGTGGTGTGGCGACGGGGCTTGCGATAGAGGTGGCCGGACATCTGTTGATGTTGTCAGTGGGTTGTGCTTATGTCTGATGTTATGCTGCGATAACGTACCTTGATAGTCCGACAACCAGACAGCGAGCACATGTTGTGTAAATGTGGGGACGCCTCGGCTTTCTTCACTTCCCACTTCTTCGCAAACTGCCCGACAACGGATTCCATAGCTTCGTCAATATCCAACAGCTTGAGATTGCGCTGCCGTACAACCTGCAGCTCCGTGGCATCGTCTGTGCAGCGAGTGTGCCAATACTTCACAAGCGCATCGAGTCGTTTGACCCACTCATCCCGTGTGGTATTATCGTATGCCTGGAGTCGAATGACAAGACCATTGTCGAGAACCATCTCAAATGTCCTTCCGTCTTCGAACTCTCGCGTTGCTCCATCATCCTGTCGTGAGTCTCTGGGTTCACGATTAAAGTCCACAGCAGGTCCTTCCCGGATGTTGGGGTCGGCAGGGCAGCTGCCACGATAGACATTGCGGACTTCTTGTACCTGACACATATCGATATACCCATCTGATTGGCTGATATTGTGCACATTCCTCTGTACGTGTGCATAAGCCTCTTCATCGTGCCGTTTGACGAATTCCTGATTGCCGCTGGAGAGCCATGTAATCCGACCATCTTCAAGTGGATAAGGATCGATATCCCAGGAGAGCGGCATTTGATCCAAGATTTCTCGGGCGGTTGGTACACTTCCATCTTCTGGGGGAGCACATTTCGGCGGTGGCGGGGGCAATGCCTTGGCTGGCCGACAGAATAACAAATAATGATCTTGGGTAAAGAAGTACAGCCGTTTGAAGAACATCCTGTTCATCCGCTGATGCATGCCCTTCTGGGATGTGAGACGGACTAGAAATCCTTCGATCGGAGCAGGTTCTTGCTGTATACCCTGATGCCTGATTGTAGTAGAGTAATGATGTCTTGGTCGTAATTCAAGCTCGTGAGATGATTGCATCCCAATGGTCCCATACATCTTTTCCTCATTGACTCCAAATACCCATTCAAGTCGATCGTACCGCTTCCAAGCAAGTCCCATTTTCTCGGTCTTAGACCAAGCTTTCAAGACCTCGGCCCACTCGGCACGGCCTTCGAGCATATCCATGCATCCTCGGATGATGGTAGCGGCAGCAAATCTGCTATCGACTGCTGGGCGGTCCGCTGCTGCGTCAGCGTGCTCGCTATCGGAATTATCTGCTTTTAGTCCTGCCTCAAGCTGACTGAAAGGATTTTTGAAGATGAGGGAAACCCCGAGATCAGGGACGTGGATAGGGAGTGATGTGGGACGCCGCCATCCAAGCACCTGGCGAATGAAGGTGTACCATTCAGCAGAGTGCGCCGCAGACTTCGGACGAAGGATAAATATTTTGGTTCCACGCTTGCAGGGATGCCATATAACGATAGTCTTGTCGAGGGGAGAATAGAAGTTAACATGGGTATTTTTGTGGTTGAGTCGTACCTCGTAATAAGGAGGCGTCTTGCTGTTCGGGCGTTGCACATCAGGAATTACACGAGTGCGGTACATCTGAATGGAGAATGGTGTATGCTCTATGGAGCTTTTGCGGCATACGACAAGGAACTCCCTCCATTTATCCATGGATCGTGTTTCCATGCGCAGGCTGTCATTCTCGGTGTAATCGGCGGGCAGTGTGTCCTGCATAGTCTGCTCCACGCAGACCAGCATTTTCTCTGCTTTGACAATCTCTCCATCTTGCACTTTTCGTCGGTGCGGTCGATTGGCAGAGATAGTACCTTGGGTCTTTGCAATCTTGGAGCGCATCTTTTGCTGCCTGTGCCTGATGTTGTCATCCAGGTTAAATTTTGCCATCTTCCTAGTGATTCTCCGTTTGATTTGCGCATCTTCGCCAGTATCATCTTCATCTTTTGGGTCGTGGTGTTGAAGCGTTGCTCGAGATACGCCAGATGCCTTGCTTTTCTGTTTCCCTTTGTCCTTGTATCTGCTTCGAAGCAACTGTGTTGTTGAATCGGCCTCGCTTGGAACCGTGGATAGATCGGGGGTCAGAGGGCTGGAGGAAGAAGGGCCGGTCACATTCGTGTTGTGTGACCCTCGGGACTTTGGTCGCAGCTCGGGCGGTTCCAATCTGCTAGCTCGTATGGTGGCTATTGATTCCCCCGTGTCTGTAGAGTTGGAGATCTCTTCTCTGGCGGTGACAAACGAAGACGAAGCAAGGTCATTGCCATGCGTGTCGTATTGGCCCCTTGTTCTGGCTTTGGGGGTGCTGTCTGTATCCTCTCCGCTCTCCCATGCGCCATCTTCTCCGCTATATTCTCCGTTGTCTTCCCCACTGTGCTCTCTATGCCCTGTGTCCTCTTCTGGCAAGGGATCGTCGCCGCTGGCCTCAGCTTCAGGGTGGGTTAGGGTCCTGAGTTCCCCCACAGGCTCTGCTGTAGCTTCTGCTTGTGCCTCTGCCTCAATCTCATCGTATTGCTCCTCAGGGCCTTCCGTGCTTGTGTTGGTGTGTGCTAGGGCGACCTCCTCATCTAAATCGGGTGACGATGGGCCGGCCCGATCGTCATGTTCGCCGTAATGGGTCGCAACAGGGCCTGCAGAAAACGAGACGGTCTTCGATGTATAGTTCCTAACTCTCAGTCGAGATCTATACCAGGACTTTCGATGACCTTGTAACCAGCCTTCTGGGATTGGACCGACGAAAAA